GCGGCAGGTGCATACACACCTTGGGGTGGACGGTGGGGAATAGGCCAGGGCTGCACTGCCTCAAGAAGGATTGAGACCTTTGTGGCTTCCCTGCCATCCACCTCAAGGGCTGGCATGCCAAGCCATATGCTTTCACGTGCCATTCTGGCATGTGTGCTACAGGTTGCTGACCTCTGATCTAGAGCACAGTATACACTTGCATTGCTGTTGCATACAGTTAAGCTCTCTATATATGTAACAGGGTAAAAGACAACCCTGTACTAGAGGAGGTAGCTCCAGGGAAGGGCAGAGAGTGAGGTTAGGATAAGGGCAAGGGTAATTGAAACATTGGTCACTGCTGAGGGATCTGCACACTGGGGAAGAGTTAACTGGCAAGCGGCAAGCTGGAGGATAAAAGCAGTGGTGTAGGAAGGGGATGTTGCCCTTGGGGCATTTGGAGATGCTTGGCGGTTGGAAGCCTCACTTCAACAATTAATTGCTCAGGTGAGGAAATTCAGGGCAAGGGATCAGAAAAAGAAAAGGTGAGGAGAAAAGTTACTTGCTGGGTCTGAAGAGCGTGGGATCATGGCAAGCAGATGAATGCCTGACACAACTGAAAGACGCATGCAGAAGCAGATGGGAGGTCAGATCAGGGGGAAGAACCCCTCCTAAGTGAGGCAAGAGATAAGAAAGGGGAAGAATAAAGCAAAGGAGTGCTGTGGATCATGGTGATTGTTAACACTCATGCAGGGAGCACAATAAAACAACATTTTGTTTATCTCATGACTTATGCGATTAACTACACTGCTTCTTGGGATAATTAACTTTCTTATTCTCCCAACATCTTAAGGCATAGCAGAAAAGTCCCTGAAGAGAGTATTCATTATTCACCCCCAGCCTGGCCACAATATACGATGTATGATGAGCTTGAATAACATACCAGATGAACCTGAAGTGTGATCAATTATAAACCAATATAAGTGTATCCAAGGTTTTGCTGGGACTCAATTGAATGTATTTTTAAATGATTCCAGTTAACTCAGTGTTGGTTCTTTGACTATTTTTCTGCCTTACAAAGTCTCCCAGAATGCACTGCTTCTGGGACTTTGGCCAGGAATTGTGGGATAGGTGCCAAGAAGGCATTGTAGCTGGAGTGGTTTAAGACAGTGAGACTATAAATGTAGAGCAAGACTTAAATTGTTTCAGGACAGCTCACATGCATGTGTTTTCTTCTTGCATTGTTTCAGCTATGAATGATTCAATTCTGCAGTGCAGATAAGGCCTTGGAAATAGTGATATTAATATTTCACTCCCTAGAGCATGATGTGTAGTATAGCAAACATGCTCAGCATGTACATTCAAAAGGAAGTGCAGACATAAAAAACGGAGAATATATGAAACCTGCTTTCCTTCAAGTCAGGCTGCACACTTCGGAGGAGGGGCAGCCCCTTGGATTCCCCACCTACCCATGGGCTGTGCCAGTGGCATGACAGCAGTACATGGACCCCTGGATTCTCCCCCACGTGTGGCATCAGGAGAGACAGCCATGGGGGCCTGTGAGCTGCATGTTAACAGCTCACAGGCTGCCAAAAGTTGGGCTGCTATGCTTCAGGCCAATGTTTTTCTTACTCCCAAATAATAAAAGGGGGTTCCTAATCATCCTCTGTCTCTTTTCCTCTGTTTATGCAATACAGTAACAAATCTTTCCTGAAGGAGTCCCTCCTTCATAGCTAGTTTGGATTGTTTTTTGTTTCCAATGGTATGGCAGAGCAGGTCAGTTTAGGAAACAGGGAGTGAGGATGACTGAATCTGACCATATTCATAGTACTAGGGAAAAGTATGAGTATTGCATGGGTGTGTAGGGAGAAATTCAGGAAGGCTAAGGTACGATTTGCATTACAACAGGCAAGCGACATAAAAGGCAATAAAACAGGATTCTACAGGTATGTCAAGTGTAAGAGGAGGACCAAAGAAACCATAGGTCTCTTATGGAATGCAGAAGGCAATCTAGATATGGATGCTGCAGAGAAGGCTGAAGTATTTAAAGCCTTTTTTACTTCAGTCTTCACAGATGGGGGCAGCTAGCAGATAAGCATAGTTGACAGCAAAGACAGGAGTCAAACAGCCTAGAGCAGGGGTGCTCAACCTCCAGCCCACAGGGCAAATGAGGCCCACATAGTCTTGGCATCTGGCCTGTGGGGCTCCCCACAGGTCAGGAAATTTGGCAGTGGGGGAGCATTAGCAGTTATACGGCCACCCTCTCTCCTGCCAAATTCCCAAACCACAACTCCACACAGCGGATTGGAGCCAAGCCATGGCCCCTTGCCCTGAGGGGCTCATGGCTGAATCAGGGCTGGGTCAAGCTCCCTTTCCTCCACCATGCAGGGCTCAGTCAAGCCTCCTTCCCCATGTGGGGCCTGGTTCAGGTGGGCTGCCCCCCTCTGCATGGCTGGATGGGGCTCTCTACAGTCACCCTGGGCACTGGATCAGGATTACTGGCCTGCAAAAAGGTTGAGCACTGCCTAGAGTACCTAGAGTAATGACAGAACAGATTGGAGACTCCTTAGAGAAGCTAGATGCTTTTAAGTTGGCAGGGCCAGATGAGATGCAGCTTAGGGTACTGGAGGAATTGGCTCAGGTAATTTCAGACCCATTAGCTGTCTTCTTTGAGAACTCATGGCCAATAGTGTGCTCTCATTGCAAAAAAGGCCAACAGTGTACTGAGTTGCATTAACAAGCGTGTCACTTGCTAATCAAGGGAAGTAATTCTTCTCTATTCAGCATGGAAGAGATCTCACCTTTCCTTAATGGAGAGCTTGACTTACGAGGAAAGGCTGAAAGAACAGGTTTAGTTAGTATGGGGAAGAGAAGCCTGAGAGCGGTGGGGTGTTATAACAGTTTTCAAATACCCGAAGAATGATTATAGAGAATGGAGATGGGATTTTCCTTGTGGCCATGGGGGAAAGAAATTGGAGCAATGGACTCAAACTGCAGCAGAAGTAATTTAGGTTAGAGAACTGAAGGAATTTTTTAACTGTGAGGGTGGTCAAGCATTGTATCAGGCTGCCTACAGACGTTTTGGAATCTCCATCTCTGGTAATTTTCAAGAGCAGGTTGCACAGACACTTGGCTGGGATAGTTTAGTTGGGATGATCCTGCCTTAAGCTTGGGGCTGAACTAGATCACCTCATGAAGTCTCTTCCACCTGTACTGTCCTATGATTCTATATACAAAATCCAGAGCCTTCCTCAGCAGCATGGGAGTATTTTATCTGACACTAGAAAAGGGAGCGTAAACTTTTCTGGGGCAGGAACTCTCATTTTGTTCTGTGTTTCTGTGGCTACTGCAATTGTAAACAATAGGACTAGGACACTAGCAGTTTGACTGTGTTGGTTCAGTATATCTGAGCAGTTCCTGTGCACCGTAACCAAGTGGAAAAGGCCTCTTCATAGCAGGGCTCCGTATAACTTGGTGTATACTTTTTAAGGACTTTTAAATGCCATTGGACATGGTTGCTGCATCAGTCTGAGTGGGCAACTGATCTGCAGGAAAAGTAGCATGCTGTGTGTCACTGGTCACCAACCAGTGGATCTCATAGTTTCATAGTTGGTAGGGCTGGAAGGGACCTAAACAGATCATCTAGTCTGACCCCCTGCCATGGTCAGGAAAAGATGCTGGGGTCAAATGACCCCAGTTAGATGGCTGTCTAGCCTCCTTTTGAAGACCCCCAAGGTAGGAGCGAGCACCACTTCCCTTAGAAGCTGGTTCCAGCTCCTAGCTGCTCTGACTGAAGTACTGCCTCCTGATATCTAGCCTGAATCTACTCTCAGTCAACTTATGGCCATTGTTCCTTGTTACCCCCAGTAGTGCTCGGGGGAACAGGGACTCTCCCATTACCCGCTGGTCCCCCTTGGCAAGTTTATAGGCAGCCACCAGATCCCCTCTAAGCCTTCTCTTGTGGAGGCTGAACAGGTTCAGGTCCCGTAGCCTCTCCTCGTAGGGCCTGTTCTGCTGCCCCCTGATCATGCAAGTGGCCCTCCTCTGGACCCTCTCCATGTTGTTCACATCCCTCCTGAAGTGCAGCCCCTGGAACTGGATGCAGTACTCCAACTGCAGCCTGACCAATGTCGCATAGAAGGGGAGGATCAACTCCTTGGACCTGCTCATGATGCATCTATGTATGCATGACAAGGTGCAGTTAGCCTTCCTGACTGCATCCCCACATTGACAGCCCATGTTCATCTTGGAATCTTGATCCACTGGTAGATCTCAGAACCTCTTTCAGTAGATCTCAGAGCCTCTTGGAGTCAATCTGAGGCTGGGGTGAGGGGCTGAGTGCCCACATGCATGCACGCGCATGGCCCAGCCCAGCAGGTTAGTCCGTGGGGGAGGAAAGGGGTGGGGACTAGACTGAGGCCCCCACGGTGAGGGGCAGTGCCTCAGAGGCAGGAACAGGGGTAAGTTGAATGAGGCCCTGGCCAGGTGGGACTTACCTGCTGGGTTACCTGAGGGTGAGGGGTTAATTTCCAGTACCCCTGCCAAAACGGTCGGCCCCCTCTGGTCTAAGACAATGAAGGTATATCTACTTGACACAAGGTAGTGCTATGCATGGATACCCAACTTGAGCTCACTCAGATCCAACTCAGATACCAGAAACAATATAGCTACATCATTAGCTAATGCAACTATACTGCTTCTTGTACCCAGGTGCCTCCGCACAACACTGCATTGTGCCAAGTGAACAGAGCCTGAGATACAGAACTCAACCTATCACCCTCAACAATGTTTTTCCTTGATACTTTAGTCACAGCTTGTGCTCTATGTGCTATATACCTCCAATATCCACTTCAGTTGGTTAGCAAGATAAAGATCCAAAACAATCTGGAAACCAACTTGAGCACTGGTCAGGTCTTGAGGGTTTTTTTGGGCTTATCTCTAACATTAGGAGTTGGTGTAAACGTTATCACTGTCTAAATTGGGCCGTACACAGTTTTTTCTCTTTATAAATTACACATCTTTATTTCTGATTTCCACTGTTTCTAACTGTTCATGTTCCCTCTTATGCACAGCACTGCTTACATAAACATATTTTTGACTCCCAGGACCCATTTCATCCATATCTGTTGTCGGCATCATTCTGGAAGGCAATCTTGACTTGCCAGCTTTAGGATTTTCTACCTCCAAGAGCTGCTGCCACAATTAAACCAACCACCACCAAGAACATGCCAACAGAAAGCAGCACGGTGATCACTATCATTCCTCCTGCTCTCCCTTCAAATGAACCATCATAGGCTGAGAAGCTTGTCACTAGAATGTAAAGAAAAATGATTTAGGAGTTATAGGTTTTGGAGCAAATGTTCAAAACTGTGTTTCTCTTCTGCACCATAGCATGAGGCCAGAAGAAGTAATGTAACTCATGGTGGGTAAGTGGGGCACCAGTCCTGAGCACCAATTTTTAGGGGTATCAGAATGGCAACTCCCAATGTTCAGGAAGCCCTTGGGATCAGCTGGGGTTTTTGAGTTTCCAGGGTCAGGTAAAACTCACTTGGCTCCATCCGTCCCCTGTCCCCTGATCTCTCCTTCCCCTCCCTCCCCCCACACACTCTCTGGGTGCTTGGCCAATTCTAACGATCACTATAGGCAGGCCTGAGGAGACCAGAAGCCTGATTCACTCCTGGCTTCCACCTCCTTTACTACTGCTGTGCAAATGACATGTAAAATAACTTCAAAGTAGATGTAAAACACTACCATTTGGACTTAACACACCTGCATATGATTATGTGAGCTAAATTGCAATAATGAATCCAGACTTCAGTTTTTATGAGGTGAGACCAGTCAGAGAGTCAGAGAAACAAGTCAGAAAAGCTACAGTGATACAGTCCCATGGTTGCTCTGGGAACATTATCTGGGTGTCTGAGTGATTCTGAAAGAGCAGCAGCTTAAGGCAAATGACGGAAATTACCTTTTTACCATGTTAGGGACTTACCATTATTTGTCTGGATGGGATCAGACCAATCTGTGTGAGCTCTTACTACAGCATTTTCATCCAAAACAAAAAAATTCACCCTTAAAAGTTAAAAGAAAAGATATATTAGTGCAGTGGGGGCCAACTTTTTGAGAGTCATGCCCCAAATCAGCCCCACACCCTTCCTGAATGCCACTCTGATCTCCTTCCCCTGAATAATTTGCTGCTCTGCTTTCTGCTTCCTGCCCTATCTGTTGCTGTGCTGCTTGTTCCCTCACTGATCTCTTTGCCACACACAGAGACTGCCTGGGTCACTTATGGCACATGTGCTGTAGGTTGGCCACCCAATATTAAACAGTTGCTTTGGCAGGGTCATATAAATGTCTGCCATTATTTGCATTGGAGTGATGCACCTACCCATCTAGGGTTAGGGTTGGCTGGTGGAGGCACCAGCACTACCAGATTTGCACCCCCTGAGAATTCCCGCCCCACCATCTACCGGTGGAATTCTCAGTCAGTTTTCCCATCCTATAAACATTTCTGAGATTCTGAAAAATGCTTCCATCCCAAAGTGAGCCAGAAGTAAAAATCTGGGTCCATTTGAGTCATTTGAACCATTTTCTATTGATTTGACCACTTTCATTTAAAAAAAAAAGCATGTTACAGGTACTTTATATGTTAAATTAAGGTTTTTTTTTTACAGAACCTGAGGGTAGTAGAGAATGTTTTCTTCCTGAAAGGTTCACTTAAAAAATTGTTTGGTCCCCTGAGTTTCTCACCATGATTTATATTAAACAGTAAGGATCACCAAGCAAAAATCAGGCATTTGTATTTTGGGAAAAGCTCCTCTCCTGCACTACAGCTGAAATGAATGAACTCTAAGGAAAAGGAAATAACTTTTAAGGAGAGAAATACATAATGTTTTGAGGGTTTTTTTTATTTTGTTTGATTTTTTAAAAATCAATGGTTTCTTACACTCGCTAAAGAAACAAAGACTTCTCATGCTCTTGTATCACATGCTCCAGTAGATAACGCCATGGAACAGCACTGGCTTTTCAAAGTCTATTAACATTTTAATGGTATTTCACTTCATTTGGCCTGTATGGTACCTGTAGAATGAGGATGGCTTCAGGACTCGATTGCAGAAGGGCCCCTTAGTGTTTTCACAGACTTCTGCTCCCACCTGGTAGCCTACAATTGTGGTCAGCTTATAGTTCTCATCATCTATGTCCATTTTCACAAGAGCCCTGGCCATCCTGCATGAGACACTTGCGAATTCTCCCGCATAGTAAATGGGGGCGTCAGTGAAGTTGCGGAGGGATCTGATCTGGTTGGTGTCTGTCACAGCTGAGGAAAGAACAGCATGGTGCTTGTACATCAATCATATGCCCAATCAGTGTGGCAAGAGCTCAACCCATTAGCAATTTAGAAATTTCCTGGGGCTCATTTGTGAGTTGACAGAGGTAGGGAGAGAAAAAAGGAGACATATGCTACTCTTTGTTTCCCTGTGTAGGTCTTGTGATCATGATACATGAGGGAAGCAGCTTCCTTGCGGAGGGGTACTACTCTGCTTCTGAACAGGTAGGGTACCCACTGAGCTAGCACATAGGGGGAATTGCATGGGAAAAAAATTGCATACCTTTCTTCCTTTCCTCTGCCCCCAGCCTCCCTCTTCTTCCTCTCCTGAATGAGGGGAAACACGTGTTTGACTGTGACAATGTATCATAGCTCTGTCCCTGTTTTATCCTGAACAGCACAGCTGTGCACTGTTCCTTCCTCTTATTGGGTGTCAACTTAGCTCTAATTTTGAGTATTAATGAGGGAAGAAAAGATAGTATGGAAACTGAATGGAACCCTGAAGCCGATTTTCTCTCTCAAAACTGAAGCACGTAGGCAACTCGCATGCCACAGCCATCATTTGCGGACTGAACATTATCATGAATGTCCAGAGGCCATGGTAAGGCTGTATGGACTGAGCAGTATGAAGACCTCCGGCCCATGAGCTGAATAATGCAGCCAGTTGCAAGAGCCCTGGCCTTACAGAACCACCAGAGTGGAGACTTGAAACATATATGGAATGAGAGGTGTGGATAGGAAGAAGGGATTAAGAAAAGCAAAAAAAAAAAGGAGAGAAAGCAAGAATTCATTAATAAATAAAGAAGAAAGAGAGATGAAGAAAAAAGTTGAGAAGAAAAAGAGAAAATGGAGGCAGAAGATGACAGGAGAAAACAGGGAGAGAGAATGCACAGAAAAACATGGCGATATGGCAACTGGGCAAGAACATGGCACACAGATACAAGCTGAGGTGCTACTGGCCAATGCTTCACATGGGACTGGAACACAAAATAATGGAGAACTACTGCTATAGTACCATTAAATGATTACACCTATTTCATGGTCCCATAGAACTCCTGATGTTGAACTTTACAGAACATATAAAAAACCATAGAGCTAGAGAATTAGCCTAGACTCAAGAGATTTTCACTCACTGATAAACTCATAGTTAAAATCTAGCTAAGATTGCAAATAATATGACTGAAAGTTATTGCTATTCAAGGCAGTGTAGAAGCACCTCAACAGTTAAGTCAGTTCCTGGTGGATAGATGGTCTTTTAAAATAAAAGCTGTACAATATAACTGGCCCCCTCTTTGATAGTCCCATCAAAGGGCAGAGCAAAGATCATAGAGATGGCCCCTTGAATGACAAGTCTTTTCTGCTTCCAGAGTGACCCTCAAGCCCCACCCACACATGCCCTGGGTGTGCGCCCAGGTTTATACATTAGACAGGGTAGACAGCTCAGAGGGGTTCTCAAGCTTTTCCAAGGGGGAGGGCCTGGATATTGAGCTGGGACACACACTTGGGATCATAGTAAACTGTGCACACTGCTTAAGTTGCAGGTTTGGCCATGGTGCAAGTGGGTGGGGATTATTTCTCAATGGTGTACCTGCACTCTTTCTGGAAGCAGTAAAGACATACTCTAAACCCCTCTGAGTCATGTGGGTGAGGCATGATGAAGAAACCCATACTTCTGTTGCCTATACACTGTCTGATTCTCCGTGGATGCTGGTGGAACTGCCACGTTTGTGACCATTAAAATATCATTGAGTTAAAAAAATAATAAATTCATCAAACAAAACAAGAATATGTCCTACCTGGCAGGCCAACTGTCTCACCAAGAACAGCTATTGCTGGTCTGATGGTAGTGGGTGTATAGTGAGAGGAGGAGATACACTTAGGGATATTAACAATGAAGGAAGAACTCAGTCTTGCTGCTAAAATATTGCTCATGTTAGGAAAGAAGTTCAGTGCTGGAAAAAAAAGGAAAAAATGTCAGACCAATTCTTCTCTCAGTAAAGATGCAATGTCCAGGAAATCTAGGAAATTATGTAAGTTTTATCAGAGCTGGCAAAAAAAAATACCTTAATGAGCAGGGAAATGTTTTCATGTTCATTTGATTTTTGCAATTTTGTTTTATTAAAATATGTATATATTTTTAGGAAAAACAAAAATATTTTGCTGGAATATTATTTAATTGAAATGTTCCTTTTGCATTACACAAAAGCTTTGATTCAAAATTTTAGAACAATATTAGCTATCTTGTACTCTTTTCTTAATGTTGGAGGCATTCAAGGAACTTTTTCAGGTAGATTCTCACCCATCTTAATTCACTAAAGATGATTCAGGCTCACAGTGGGTGCACCTGTGTGTTTTAGTTAGGATACTGCTGACTTACAACTAGTTTATGGTGTCCAGTTCTAGGTGGATGTAGTATGGAGCACAGCAGAGGCCCCTTTGGGATGGGGAAAATACTTTTATACATTCTAACCCCTCTGGTAAGATAGGTATTGCTTAAAACATATAAGATACATTAGTTAAAATTAGAGAAGTGGTTCTCAACCTTTTTAGACTCAAGGCACCCTTTGAGTCTCATTGTTGAGTACAGAAAAATAATAGAGCAATTCTTATGTTGTAAAGAACTCAGGAAGATCAGAACAGGTCAGAAGGTTTTTGACACACTGGATTCCTATTTGAAATATCTGGGTTTATTTTGTGAATCATGTTTGTACACCTAACTATGTTAACTTTGCATGGCACCTCATGGCACCCTTGAAAGGATTTAAAGGCAACTCAGGGTGCCATGGCACCCTGGTTGAGAAACACTGCTATATAGATTATGTACCAAGGTTAAAAATGGTAGTAATGCCTATCAACTCAAAGACTTAGGAAACTGTCAAGTGGGAAAAAGACTAGAGTCATCCTACCCCATAGCGAACCCCCCTGAAGTTGAAAGGAGTCAAACAATACTACATCAACTGTAATACATTGTTTATCCACATAGGAAAATAGAAACAGAGATCATAGGACTGGAAGGAACCTTCTGTGTAGTCAAAAATGATGCAGCAGAGTGAAGAATAGTTAGTGTCAATCACTAATGTCTTATCCCTTTAAGTCTGATCTCAGATAAAGGTCCTGGGCTCTCCTGTGCTTGGAGCCAGAACAGGTATGACATTTCTGTAGGACTGGGTGTTTCATGAGTCTACTTATTGTGCATTGTAGTTGGTCTCTGGCCATTTATTCTAATGCTGGTTCTTTCTCATTTTGCTTTCTGATGTAGTGATTTCAATCATGTTCTTCTTGTTATAAATGAAGAACTTATCTATCAGTCCTTAGGCAAAACTCCCACTGAAATCAGTAGAGATTTTTCTTGAATGCCAGCTGCAGGGTTGGAAGCAGACAGATTAAGTTAGCTCTGAATCACAGCTTTGCATATTCAAAATAACTGCCTTCAAAGGACATGCTTTGGATTTACACAGGCATATCAGAGCACCAATTCTGGTCCAAAGTGAATAATGTCATTCATGACTGCAGTACATTATATTTAAACACCTCTTTTGATCCCAAAAGAACCTTCAAAGTTTTAAATAATTCATATATCACTAATTAAAGACATCATGCCGCTGTTGTTACAATCAGTGGAAAGACTCATTGCTGGTATTTGGCCTGGGCCCAAAGAACCATATTATTATATGCAATAATGAGATAAAGGGTAGGCTTGATTTTCAGAGATGCTGAATATCCACAATTTCCACTGGTTACTGAAAGTCAGATTCTATATAAGTCTAGACCAAGAGTGTAGGAAAGAAAGGGGCAATAGGTTTGTCTTGGCTATACAACATCGATATTCTATAAAGATCTCTATCTGTCATATTCATATAATCATAACTGAAATGCCTTATGTGGATAAAGAAAGTGAACCTATATCCCTGCATGTACATCATGAATGCCACTTCTTACTATGATACCATTAAATGCCACCCAAAAGTTTCCTTCCTCAGTTCTCCTTACACTAGAAGCATTCTGATTTGTATGATATATAAGATCATACCTAGTCTGGAATTACAGGATTGCTCCCATGAAAATAATGTATTGCATTGTCTTGAACACATTGTCTTACAAACTACCACAGGAGGAAGATAATATATTCTGGTACTTCCTTCATAACCATTTTCTCTTTTGACTTGACACTATATAATTAGTTTTTGGCCTTCTTTTGGAGCTTTAGTCTTTTGTTCATTGTTTGGTACACATTTATATACTGGATTTGAAGGAAGTAATTCAGTTAAAACTGTTTAAATTGGGAGTAACCCAACTAATTTATCAGTTACTTAATCAATTTATTATTACTTTTCTTACTGTTTTAAATAGTGTCACATGTGTGCATGGTTCTGTTCCTTCATAAAAAGCTGTAACTTCTTGCCCAGCTAATTTCAAAGCTGAAGTCAAGGGAGACATTTAAGACCTAGGTATATACAAGTGACAGTGAAATCTGGCTCCAGATGTTTCAAAATTCTATGCTGAATAGATTGATGTTTTACAATGAAATATTTTAATGGGAAAATTATATCTTATAATAAGGATATGTACCTGTCTGCATAGCTCTGCACATAATATGGTGTACATAAATAATAATAGCTACATCCAAGTTAAAACTATATACTGCAGTTTTGTTTTCCAGTTCCTCTATACTTTAGCTACACTGTTACAACATTAATTAGCAGAGGATTAGTAAACACCAATGAATTAATTAAAAGCATAAAGTACACTATAACTTGCTATTGCTGAAATAGAAGAGCAGTACTCACAGATTTTGTCTAAACTGGATAATTGAACCGCCCATCCTGTTCTGAGGCAGCTAACAAAGCACAGCAGCAGAACTAGCTTCATTGCTGAAATGTGGTGGAGTTAGGTTTGTTGGACAAATGTGAGGTGAGTTTTTTGGGCTCCAGAATTTCTGCCTTGGAAAAGAGGAAGGGATTTGCATTCATTAGGCAGGTACAAGGAGGGAGGTGGGGGAAAAAAGAAGAGGAGAAACAAAGGAGATATGTATCCTAGATAAAAACGCATTGTTTGCAATACAGTGAGGCTCCTGAGAACTTGAAGAGTTTCCTCCAGCAACATACTTCTAAGTCGGAGCTTTTGTCCTTTGCTCAAAGGTAACGAGAGGATTTATTTTTCACTGAAGATGAAGAGCTGCTCAAACAGCCACATAGGGCCCATAATACAAACAATTTCTAAGAGGCATTCAGCTAAAAGACATGTCAGAGAAAATCCTGATGTCATTTCATTGTAAATGGCATAGGCTTTGTCCAACAGCAGGTGCCTGTGTTATGGGAATGTGTACAGCCAATGGAAAAAGTACAAGGATGAAATAATGTAATATTCCAAATTCTTATTGCTGAAACCTCTCTTCATGAATCTCCCAGAAAGAAAAGGAAAGAGGAGAAGAAGATATCCAAGAATCTGTAATTCCTTGGCTTCAACTTTACAATGAAAGAAAGCTTTACTTGAGTTTAGTCAGTATGTGAGGATGACCTAGAACCTTTACTCCACTATAAATACCATTACATTATTTTTGCCCTAGATAGTTAGTAATATATATATATAATGCAAGGGCTGAAAACTTATCAAGGTTTCTTCTAGGTTTGCCTCCAAAAATTAATACACTAGAGTTCCTATCAAGTAGATATAAGAAAGCTATATATACCCTCACCACACACCTGTATTCCTCCAAATTTCCTGCAGTCAGGAAAAAAGTTGGGGCAAAAGTAATTAAATCAATAAGTATATAATATACTACAGTCTCTTAGCACAGCTTCTGTATTTTCTATATACTCAGGAGGGAGGTGATGGTGGTACTGTGGATAATACTTGACATACCAATTTTATGTTTGAAGGAAATAGTATTCCAATTTTCTGCAGTTACTGAATGCTGTTATAAACTTAGAGGTATGAGGAAGATTAAATGGCATATCCTTCATTCCTCCAGAATGGAGTAAGCACTTGCAGGCAATTGCTTAGAATCCTCTACTAGATCTTTCCTGAAGAAGAATGTAAAATAGAAGCCACATTTGGGCTAGGCTGAAGGACTTTGAGCTAAGTGTGGTATGTAGGTATTTATCATGGAGATCCATGAGACAAGATGAGTAGATTCCACCTGAGTCTGTGAAAGGATCATTGCCTGTTATGGAAGCACTTTCCCTCAGACAAGAAGTAGAAAATGGATGGGGAAAGGGTTTCATGGTACACAGAGTTAAACCTCATGTCTTATACAAATTCCTGCTTGGATACTTGCATTCAGTGCATGTAAACTCCTGCTGGGGGGTCAACCAGTAAAATTATTTTTATTGCTTTTTTGTTTTGTGAGAGTGCATTAGAGGCCTCAGGCAGAGAACTGGGCTATACTGGGTCAGGTCTTATAAGACAGGAAACAGAAAAACACACCCATTGTCCCCCAAAACCTACAATCTAAATACAGGATGAAAGACAAAAAGGTAGGGAACACAAAGTACCAGGTCTGCCTGCATAAGTACCAGCATATGTATGACCAGGTCAGCCATACATATAACAAATAGCAGGCACAGCTGAATGTTGAGTATTTTGTAGGCACCACTATATCTAATTTTTTTCCTCCTAAAAACCTGTAGTATGGTGTAATGCAGCCATGCCAGCTAAGAATATTTGTCATATTCCATCCTGTGCTGGTTGAAGTCCAATGGTGGACCAGGGATATGATAGCAGCTTTTCTAACTTTAGGTTCCAGATGGTGATAGTTCATTTTGACTGTTTGCCCATTAGAAAGTTGGTCACCTTTAAGTTGTGCTAAACACATCTTTGTGGCATCAGAATGTAGGACATTTATGTAAGCCCTAAATCAGATTCTTGATGCTACCACAGTCCCTTTTCCCATGAGCACTGCAGCTTCCTCCTTTTAAATGTTGTTTTTTGGGGAAGGAAAACAGATTTGATTTGCTCAGTTCAAATGTCAAACCCTGAATTTACAAATTATACTGAGAATAACCTACCTAATTTTCAACATATTCCAAACTACTACGTCTTGATGTGCACCCAAATTTTACATAATCTTTGATCTTTAATTCCTGTAACTCAAAATATGAATGCACTTCACTCATTTTTCCTCTTAGCATAGATAAATGTGTGAGCCATAATTCCTGTTCAATGATTTTATTATGCTCACTTAAGCATGGGACCCCTTCAGGCAAATACGTGAAAGGTCAGCGTGTTTTCTCCCAGGTGCAATGTCCATACTTGGATTGAATGCTGACATACTTGAATGCTTATGTCTTTCTTGGGGTGGAAGACAAAGCCTTTTGGTAACTCACATGCTGGAAGAAGTTCAGCAACAGCAACTGAAAAAGGATTAATTAAAAAATAATCTCTTTATCCCTTTGACCCAGGGTCTATCCTCTGAGGCTGTTGGTCAAGGTGCCAGTTGGTGCTGATTTTAGACACGATTTTGCAACACTGAGATTAAAGAACTCATTTCACAGCCACCAGATTATAGTCATTTTTGGTCACAGCCTGCTTGGAACATATAGGAACTTGTGGGTATCTGTGGCAGAGAAGAAACACTCTATCCCATTCTCATTTTCCTCATCCATGAAGTATCCCAGTGTCCTGGACTGGGTGGGGGAAGAAGCTGCTGATATAAAGCCAAGATCCAAAATATGCAACTTTGAAGATCTAAGTCCTTCTGTTGGTACCTCTTGACATATTAGTATGGTATCTTTATAGTTTCTGAATGCCTAGCACCCCACCCCAAATACAAGTGTGACCTGATACAGAATGAGTAATCACCATGCCATGAGATCTAACAGAAAAGCCATGACCAGATGCAAAACAGCAGATGCTGATTGTATGTATTGCAATAACATGCAGAGATCTCCAATCAGAGGTAGGGTCCCATGGTACTAGGAGCTCCAAAAACACAGGAAGGGTATGGACAAATGTACATTTGGAGCCATTTCAAAAGGGGAGAGACCTCTTGCTCCAAACCGTATGGCGGGTGCTCCCTTCTAATTGTTAGATGTGCACAAGGCAGAAACAATGCAAACGTGGTAAAACAACTCAAACACTGCTTCATTCAGGGTTAAAGTTCGACAAATTCAACTCTAGCAAAAATTCTGAACTATATCAGACTATGTAAAAAGGGGGAAAATGAGAAAAAAATATCATCAACAAAAACCAATTGACTTGATTAAAAGGACATACACAGTGGTGACAACAGCAGCCTTCTCCTCATTCTTTTATCTAAGAATCAAATCAAACCCATGGATAAATTAGACCAGCATGGGACAGGGAACTCACCAGCTTGGGTGGCTGTGCATTGGCATAGTTCTTAATATCACATGCTACCTAATGACATTGTATCAACCCTTCTGTAATTGAACATAATATGGTGAAGACAACAGGGACAAGGAAATGCACAGAAAGATCCTATGACCCCTTCCAAACAAATGTATGTGTGTGTATGCATGTGCATGTGTATACACACACACATGCATGGGCCATGAGTATGGGGCTATGAAAAAGAACAGCACATTTTGCTCCCTAGCCAGCTGCTCTGGAGTGCCAAAAGAGGTCTGAAGCATCCATCTGGTTTCCCCTGCATCCATATATAATTGTTTTCAATCGCTGGATTCCCATTATTACTATGCACTATTACAGTATGTCACTTTTTCTCTCTTGAACTCTGTATTTTAATGCCCCCACCACCCAGGTCAGAGATTCAAACAAAGGCCCAGGCACCCTGTCTAATTCCTTTCATCCCGCTGCATTTATGCGATTTCTCCTTTATGTAGCTATTACATTATTTTTATGATTAATACCTGTGGATCCATGTAATTATCTGTGCATGGTTATCATGGTGTATACAGGGAGAACTTGACATACAATATCTTTTCTGTTTAAAACCATGAAACTAAGTTTAATGGGGCAACAGACTTGCAGTAATTCATTCTTGTTTTTAAAGGGCACTATCAGAAGGCATGTCTTCTTACTTACCTATAAAGCTCTAAGCCTCTTTTGAGTGATCAATAGCCAATGAAAAATAGATAAAACAGCCTTTTTCAAACCAGTGCTAGTGACCACCTAATTTGGGGATGGACTTCCTGCATCACAGACCAGAAAGTCTGCATCAAATACAGCCCAATGTGAATCCCAGTCATCCTTCTGCTCCTATGCCTTGTCCTAGCAGACCTAACTGACAGTCTGTATTTTTGTCTGAGCTATACAAAAGCACCACTCTTTTACCAGACAGCCTGAGGGTGTTTTCAGCATCCTAAAGCCACCCGAGTTCATCTGTACCCTGATTCGATTGAAAAACAACATCCTTATTACACGAGTGATTTAAGAACCTAAATTCACTTCTCCTCCCAGATTAAGATCAGATGACTGGCAGTATAATACCAAGTGCCTACCCAACAACCTTTGAGAAGGGAGACTGCATGAACTTTGCCTCAAAGGAATACATGGCACAATTTATCCAATCCTGTGATTCCAAATACAAGTCTCATCCCAAATCTCTCTCTTAAACATGTTAAACAAACTGTAAAATGAGTCTGCTAAGCAGATAATATATAGGCTTGTAATTATTGACCTCTCTGTACCTCTGTACTGGAAGGGATTGCCTGTATGAGACTGCAGAATGCTTCAGTGTGATCTAGAGATATGGAAAACAGCATGATTAAGGAGTGAAAAACCTCTCTCAACCCCTCCATGCATCGAGTCTTCTTTATTTGTATGCATATCATAAAAAAAAAGTTGATTTGACATGCTTCCTGTACAATAGCCCCATAAATGTATCACAACACTCACCTACTATTAACATGGGCAAAATGTATTAGCCAATGTAGCATTCAGCTGATGCACTGT